CCTTTTATTATTTATTTTTTTTTTCCAAGCTAGGTCGCAAGGGCCGTGCGAGTTGCATGCCCTTCCCCAGGGGGGCGCTGCGCCTGTGTAGTGGGGTGTGCACATGCAAGGAGTAGCCAGCGATTAAGCAGCGAGGAAGATCGACCTGCGAGACCGATCAGCGAGACCGACTAGCGAGAACAGTCGCACACTGAGCCCCCTTTGTGTGTAGAAAAAAATGTCCAGAAATGGAACTTCGCGGAGGAAGGAAAAAGGAAAATGCGGGGATCACACGCAAGGCAAAAAATTAAAAAGAAAAATCCTCTACGCCTGTCCGATTGGAAAAAAAAAAAAAAAGAAACCCGTGCAACGTTTTGTCCTGACACCCCTGTCGTTTTCCCAAACGTTCTAATTAAGTCTGTTCAGTTGGAAAGTATCAACCACGATAAAGTCACGATACATTCTTAACTGTTTTTTTTTTTTTTTTTTTTTTTCCGCAGAATGGCGCTATTTGGAGTTGCCTCCCCAAGGAGACCCATCCCACAGTTGAGTTTGCCTTGCGTCCCCATGTCACTTGCAACCATATGTACCACCTTGACGTTTGGGGTAATCATCTAAGGATATTAAATCGTTACCTTTCTTTTCCACCACATCCACTTCACCCTACCACTAACCTGGAGAATCCCTTTCGAGTTACTTAAAATGGACAAGTCGTCAGGAGGCCAATGAACTAAGTGTCACATGGTTGAAGAAGTGGCATTACGGGAATACATCACTGTGGAAATGCGTCACGGGGAAGTTTCCTTTTTTTTTTTTTTTTTTTTTCTCCCCCATCAGTTCTTACATAGATGTACATACACGTGCGTACGTAAATGGTGTTCTATCTAAATTGACATTCCGGATGACCCTCCAGCTGTTCCTTCTTCACCGCTTGAAACCCAAATGAGCGTGTCCCCCCTTGTGCGAAACGGATCCTCTACAACTTTGTGCAGAAGGGAATCGCCTATCTAACGCCACATCCCTTTGTCCTTCACTCAGAATAGTGCCTTACACCAAGGGGATGGATACTCCCAAGATGGGAAGTTCATCTAAAAGAACCAACTCTCTTTTTTTTTTTTCTTTCTTTTTGCGAGTGTAACATAATGACACGCATGTTTAGTAATTCGTAATGAGGGAGGAAGTGAAACGCCGCTTTATTTTTTCTGCGCGTGCACACATGCACACTTGCGGATGCGCGCGAGAGAGAGAAAAAAAAGAAGCGAATATGATGAGGGCATATTTATGTGATGCAAACAAGGGCGGACTGGGAGAAACATCCCTCCGGTGGTCCAAAAATTCGAGGACGGAATCGCAAAAAGCAAGTAACATTCGAAGAGCCCTTTAGGAGAGGCATTTTTTTTTTGATCTTCCCGTCCCCGCCGCTCCCCTAACATACATGCGATTCCCTCCCATTTGAATCCCATCCCTGGCGAAAGACAAACGAGAGAGCACAGCGAAGGTGTATAGCCCGCCTGCATCGTCACTCGTTCATGTCCGCAAGGGGGCGACCAAGCTGACCCGAAGCTGGCACCCCGCTGGAGAGCATATTTTTGAGAAATAAAAGTACCCAAGTGGTACATGATCCGTGGGGTGAACAATATCGCCGCGTTCACCCCCTGTGGCATTTGCCTTCTGTTTTTGCCTTTGTGTCAATGTGAAGAGGTGAAGAAGTGAAGAAGCGGCGAATTGAGGAAGCAACGAGGGGACCAACTCGGAAGGGTCGGTCAAACGGTTGCCCACAAACAGGCGGCTTCTCTCCTTGAGTTATTTTTCCCCCCTGGCGATCACCTCAGTGGCCATTTTAAGATCAACGGGGGGTACCACCTTCCGGTAAGGCGATAGGAGAGGCAGCGCAACGCGAAGGGTGGCATCACTCCAAATTGGTATCACCTCATCCCCCCCGCGCCGTGCACATGAACTTCGGACTCAGCGGCATCGACGAGCTGGACGGGCTGGACAATGCCCTCATCGAAGAGATCGAAAAGGACACCAAGGGACCAGGCGCGTGGGACAACAAGAGAAAATTTGACGTTTACGATGAGTACGAATTGTTGTTAAATAAAAAAAAAAAAAAAAAAAAAAACGAGCAACTGGAAAGGAACACAATTATACCACCCAAGGGAAACCTTCAGCACACCACTCTGCAAAACTCAATCACAGGATCGCCATTTAATCGAGAATTCCACAACCATTACATTTTCAATGATTACCACTTCCTCAGAGAGTATGTCTATAAAAACAATCTAACCAGTGACGATATATTTTTTAAGCCCGAACAAGTGGAATCTAGATCTAGGAGTGAAGGTGCCAAATTGGCTAGTAGCAATGAAGACATCGATGAGTTTCTCAAAATTTACGACTGCAATGATATTTACCCCCCTGTGTATGTGAAGAAGTTGGCTTCTGAGGGGAAACAGCAGGAAAGCGGCGTAAGCGATGGGAGCGGTGTAAGCCCAACGAAGAGCTCCTTCCTGAGACGAGACAGCGAGGCGTTCAGAAAAACGCTGGAGAAGGTTTTACAGGAAATTAAAGAGGAGGACCAGCATCGGAAGGAGAGGACAGAAAATAATGAACCAACTGAGTGGGGGAAAGTCTTCCAAGATGAGGGCAAAACGGAAAAGAAGGAAAATCCCAAACCGGGGAAGAACGTGAAGACGGAAAAGTCCGTCAATTTTGTAGAGAAATACAGGGCAAAATATTTCTCGGAGCTTCTCACAGATGAGGCCATCAACAGGGAAGTCCTCCTGTGGATGAAGCAGTGGAGCGAGCGAATAGGAAAGAAGGGGCCAACAAACATGACCTTCACACAGGGAAATGATAAAAAAGAGGAAGAGGAGGCCAAAAAAAACAGTGAATTTCAACGAATCTTACTTCTAGGTGGGCCAGCAGGAAAGGGGAAAACCACTCTAGCATACGTTATCGCGAATCACTTTAAATTCAATGTCATTGAGATCAATGGAAGTGATGACAGGAATAAGGAAACGTTAATCCCACTAGTCGAATCGATCGTGTGTAATAACTCCATAGGGTCTAAGCCAAACATATGCATCATCGATGAGATTGACGGTTTGACCAACACGCAGCAAAATATAGAAGCGATTTTGAAGTTCCTGATGAAGAAGGACAAGAGAAATAGGAGCATCATCAGGAGACCAATCATTTGCATATGCAATGATATATATCACAAGAGTCTGAAGGAACTCCGAAAGATAAGTAAAGTCGTCGTAGTAGACAGTGTGAACTACGAAATGTTGAAGGGGCGAATCAATTTTATCTGCGACCGGGAGGGCATCAGCATGGGAAACGAGACGGTCAGCAAGTTGGTAGAGATCTGCAAGGGGGACATTCGGGCTATTCTAAACACGATCTGTTTTCTTAGCATCGGGGGGGGGAGCGGCGGTTTGAGAGGCGTGAGTGGCGGTGCTATTGGCCATGCCAGTGGAGGATCATCTTCTGTGGGTCCCCCCGCGAACGGCCCTCCCCGGGCACACAAGCAGACGGGCAAGGTACTCATCAGCATGGACCTACTAAACGCGTACCTCTTCTACAAAGACGCAAATAACAACTACATGGAGATGCTAAACATGATTTATGTGAAGAATAAAAACAAAAAAATAATAAAACATTTGTTACAGGAGTGTCACCAATTCTTCCATCTTAACTTGTCTAACGAATATAACTACCTCCAATCATATTACTACGTCTATGACAATTTGCTGAATATCCCTTTCAACGACTTCGATTTTTGTAAGCTGAGTTATTGTCTGGATTTCCTCTCTTTCTGTGATACCTTGGAATATAGGCAGAAGCAAATTCTGAGTTACTCCCTCCAGAAGACCTTATTTTACGCTGTCTATCTCTTCATCCTTATCATTCACCTCAACATCAATTCACACGTCCACTACATTCTCATGCATAACAGTCACACGCACTTTAGCCTATCGAGACAACTGAGCGTGAAGCAGATCAAGGAAAACTTCCTAAATGATAGCTTCGGGGCCATCACGTACAAGTATATATATTCTAGACATTTCTTCTTTGAGACTCTGAATTATATTTTTTCCTTCTTCTATATGAATGAGTTTTTTTATAGAAACGTGCACCTGTGGGGAACATCTAACTACTTCAGCGATTTGGATGCCCCAAAGTACCTCCTCGTCCCCTACCACTTCAACAACGTCAATAAGTTAAAATTGTTTTGTTTGAAGCTGCTTCACCTGATGACACTTTTTAACATTTCATTCACCCATGTGTCTGTGTCTTCCTCCTCGGTGGGCCCCTTTCACTTTGGCGCGCCCAGGGGGAATCAGCCCCTTCGGGGGGGAGCGTGGGGCAGTAACGATGTCGGTAACACTGGCGGTGGGAAGGATCGCGGTGGGAACGATTGGCGCGGTAACGATCGGCGCGGTAACGATCGGCGCGGTAACGATGTCCGCGATAACGATCATGGCGGGGGCTGGGGCGAGGCCGACAAGCTGTCCATGCCCGACAAGGTATACGTGTCCGACCCGTATGTGGACGACCTCCTTCTGTACGCGGAGAAGAAGGAAACGGGATACAGGCAGTTTCATCAGCAGATGAACAACCCCCCGACGGCCACCTGCCAGACTAACACCTTTCATTTCCACACCCTGGAGAGTTTCCTCACCAACACCGTCTGCGAAAAGTTAAATCAATTGAAGAAATGGATCAACAATCAGTCCGTTTACCATCACGACAAGAAGAAACAACCGAATCAGATGCAGATTATTAAGGCTTCCTTCTCCAAGGCAAACAGAGCAAACTTCCAAGTGAACTACACGCACAACTTTGAGAAGTCTCTAACGGAGATGATCTTAATTGCACACGAGAAGGGGTACCAGAAGGCTTTGTCTATTTATTTCCCAAATGAGCTAGCTGAAGATGGCCAGGGTTCTACCTCCGGAAGGGCAGACGTAACAGCGGCTTCAGCGGCTTCGACCGGTTTGACCGGTTTGACCGTTTCACCCGGGGCGAACCTCAAAAATGAGCAGAACATTCTCAAGACCAAGATCTTACAGAACACAGGCGATGCTGCTCTCACCATCGCCGACCTCGTCACAGAAGAAAGGAGCTACATGGACCGGACCATCAACAAGGACAGGAAGATTTACTTCACCGGCAAGTACATAAAGACCAAGGGGTACTACAAGAACATCGAGGAGCGCTGCAATGCGGTTCTGCAGCCCCTGCACTTTTGCGTCTTGCACGGGAGCTAGGCTGGGGTGGTTAGTAGCGATTAACCGCTTTTTACCATCCCTGTCCCCTCTTTACTACCCCTGTCCCCTTTTTACCACTCATGTCCCCTTTTAACCCCTTGTTACTACTGCTGTCCCCTTCCTGCGCCTGCCGCCCTGTTTGCCCATTTCCTCATTGTACCCCTTAAGGAGGTCCCCCACAGGGGACCTAAAAGGGAACCCAATTCGAACAGACCCCCCTCCAACTGGCATGGCGTAATTTGACTTTTTTGGAGTCCTTCCTCTCCACCCTTCCGTCCCTAAGCGGTATGTCGTTACTTTCTTCGCGAAGGAATGAAAAAAGTTACCTTCCACTTATCGCACACGGGACATTGTCACGACGGGATCAGCCACCCAGGAGCGCAAAAATAAAAAAAAATAAAATAAAACGGAGGAAAATCCCCCCCTGTGCGTGTTAATTACCGTGGGTTGCTCCCGCCACCGTGTGTTCTCAACAATGAGGGAAATTTTCCTGCGTTTAATTGGCACTCCCCTTGGCGTGTCACTCGCTCCAGTTAACGATTTCGGGGATACATTTTCCCCCTTTGGTGAGATTACCTAGGAGGCACGGCGACGTGGCTGCCAAACCGGATGCTCTGCCAAAAGGGCTGCTCTGCCAAATCGGATGCTCTGCCAAATCGGACTCTCTGCCAACCCCCCCGCGCAGCATGCCCGATGAGCCAACCTGGAGGGAAAGAAAACTGCCAAAATGGGAAAGAGCTGCAACACATTTGATCTTTTCATGCATCAGTACATCGTCAAATACAAGAACAGCAAAGTTTGCTACCTCTGCAAGGTGATTCTCCTGTCCTCTTCAGGGCGTCCACGGCGGCGCCTGATGAGTGGCAGCAAAGAAGGTGTACCTACAAATATGTACCTCTGTACCGACAAATATATACGTCTGTATATATGTGTATGAGTGTGTGTATATATATGCATATGCGCGTGTATGTTTCTTTCTTCCTTTTTTTCCCCCAACGCGACAGAACAAAGTAACCGCCAACCACATCGAAAAAATGGAAGACGTCTGCCCCCAAATGTGGAGGCACTTTCACGGCCTCACCATGCAGCCCCAGTGCCCCTTGCAGAGGTGCGAAAAAAAGAAGAAAAAAAAAGGAAAAAAAAAGAAAAAAAAGGAAAAAAAAAAGAAAACGCTCAAATGAGCAACGACGTGGAAGACATGTCCCATTCGTGTGCATATCACCTCTATGTGTCAGAGACAACCACATGTCGTGCAGCAAAGCCATTCATCGTAAAATGTGTGCAATGTTCGATTGCTACACCTGTCATGTCTCCTATCTAAAGACCCCTTACGATGAGTTTCGAACTGATTACCACTTTGCAACACTTTGACACTTCGCTCAGCCATGTTACCACCACTGGGGTGTATTCCCCCCCGGTTCTCTGCCACGCGTCACTTACTATCACCCGGCTCCCTGACACGCTTCGTTCACCATCACCCTGTTCTCCGCCACTCCTCACTCACTTACTCTCCCCCCCCCTCTCAGTTTTGGTCAGGTACTACGTGTAAAAGACCTCAGATTTGAAGAGCTAGAAAAGTACAGGGATGCCCTGCAGCGGAAGTAGATAGTTCTGCCAAACCAAAGAGGAGAACAATCAAGCGGATGAGAAGATGAGCGGACGAAGAGGACAGGCTCCCACACAGCGGGACGCAAAAAAAACGCTGCCCCACCTCTTGCAGGCTACATTTATTTACGCCCCATTGTTAGACGTCCCCCCGAGGGAAGAACCCCCGCACAAGGGAAGAATCCCCCCCGCTCTAATCCTTTTCTTCTTTTAACTTAAAGCGGAGGGAGGCATATTCTTCCTTGCCACCACAACTCTGCATAACCGTTGCTAACCACCAAACGGGAGGTCCTCCAAACGGTCCTTTCTCCCCAACATACATTTCATTCTCCCGGCTTGTATTTAAAAAAAAAAAAAAACGCTTCATTTTTTTTTTGTCAACTTAGCGAAGTATCCAATTCGCACGGGGACATTTAAGACAGTGCAAGAAGTTCAAATGTGTTCGTGTAGGTTCGATTAGAAGGAAGCGGTGGGAGGCACGCGGAGAAGGGGACCACCACGACGGCCCCCACAGGAGTGGCGGTTTGCGTGATGCTCTGCTCTGTGGTGGAAAGGCATTTGGATCCTCCTTTTTAACGACCCCTTCCGCTGTCTCATTCAAACCCAAGGGTAGGAATCCCATCATTCTGAATTAGATTCCAGCCAAAGGAATTTTATTTTGCTCTCTTCCCCACAGGTCTCTTATGAACTCTCCCTTTCGGTTATCACTCATGGGTATGATGAGTGCTCGTGGCGTGCCGCCCATCTGTGTCACCTCCTCACTGTTGCTTTGTTCGTCACTTCGGTGAGGAGGATCCCCCTCGCCGACCAGAAAGTAGGGCACACCTCTTTAAATGCACAGAGCAGGATTTTCTTATCTTCCACAGGGGAGGCAGCATAGGATTCTCCACTTCGTCTCAAAGGGGAGACGTATGAACCATTCTGGTTAAATGGTGAAGGCGTAATTTTTTTTTTTTTCCTCTTTTTTTTCCTCTTTTTTTTTCCTCTTTTTTGCTCTTTTTTTTTCTCCTGTTCGCAAAAACCACACTACGCACAAGAAGTGCACACCACGTGTGTTCACATTTTCTCCATTAAAAAAAAAAAAAAAAGAGGAAAAAGGAGCAAAAAAGAGTAAGAAAGAGAGGAAGGAAAGACGAAGGAGAAGAGAAAAGGAACGCGTCAAATCTCTGCACGCACCAATGACACTCTCTCCCACCTTGGGAAACTCTTCATGCGCGAAATGTGCAAGGGTAAGCATATGGAAGGATAAGTTATCTTCGCGCCTGTCCGTGTGTTATTCACACCCATTCATGTGCATCTCTACGTGCCCGCGCGATTCTCATTCGCGTCCTCTTTTCCCCATTTGAAAGTCTCCCCCGTCCAACTACGAACGTTTAAGGACCATCTTTAGACAAGGCGTCTCCCTCCCCCCCAACGCAGCAGGAGAGGTAGTGGCAGCCCCGCCTTTGAATTCTCCACGTGGGATTCTGGCCAAATGAAATGCGTCTCTAACCCTAGAAGGCTACTTCTTCAGCGGAAAAAATTAACTTTAAAATAGTTGGAGAAGAAAAGAAGAGGAGTCGGCACTGCGCCTCCATACGGGTTTACCCCTGTTCATGCTTTCTTACAATTAGACGCGTGTTTTTTTTTTTTTTTTTTTTTTTCTTTTTTGCGCCTTAAACACTCGCGAAGGGAGCAATATACCTTGTGGTGGAACCCACATGCTACTCGGAAGGAGCCGCATCGCTTAACAGAGAAGAAGATACACAAAGAATTGCCTTCCAGAAAAAGAGACCTCCTGCGCCTGTTCTTCCCTCTTTCTTTCCTTAGGGCTAGCACAGGCAGATTGACCTGCGTTAAATCGAAATGGTTAGCAGGACTTCCCACTTGTGCAGAGTACCTTCGCAGGGGAAGTGTACCTTTCAGTACGCCGAAACGAAGTAGTGAATTACTCCTAAGCGTAAGCTCCACACATACACACCCGGGAAATCAGATCCAGACGGCACGATAAATTCCCACGTGGCAGCATTTTCTTCTCCGAGAGTCCTTCCACTCCTTGTCTGGAGTCTCCAATCATATGTCGATTCTGTTACCCCCAAGCATGACCCCATTTTAAGCTCAAGACGAGAAAAAAAAAAGAATAAAAATGAATAAGAACGAATTAGAACGAATAACAACGAATAAAAATGAATAATAATGAACCTGGGAAGAGATCCGATTCTATGGATGAGTACGAATGGGTTCAGGCAGAAATCGGTGAAACGAGTAACACAACGAAAAATGTCTCCTTTGCTTCCTCGTCAAAGGAGGCACAGGATGACGTGTGCATATCTAACCGAACGACGGAAAATGAGAACGAGAAGGAGGAACTGACGGGTGGGTTCTTTTCCTCATCGGATGCGTCCGCAAGGGAGTCTTACGGGGGGCCAGCTGAAAGGGGTGCCGACCCTATCGCGTGCAGTCCTAACACGCAGCATAGCCATAACACGCAGCATAGTCCTACCACACAGCACAGCCATAACACGCAGCACAACTCCTCAGGGTCACACAACCTAGTCGCTCCCCACGTTGACAGCTGCTCCGAGCCCACCCGTGACCCATCTCCCCACGGGAAACAAAAAAACAGTGGTGTCGTCAAAATATGCATCAGAAGCGTAGGAGCAATCAGTGGAGAGTCTTTCCCAAATGGCCCCGAGGGGGAGGGCTCCCCCCAGTCCTACGACGAGAGGATGCTGTCCCCGGTTTATATGGCCGAGGGGAACCACGCCGCGAAGGGGGGCGCGAGGGGGAGCGAGAAGGGAAGCGCGATCAAGAGCGAGGAGGACATCACTAAGGACGCCGCTAATCAGAAAAAAACGGAATGCTCAGCGAACGACGCAAAAATGAACGCAGTCAACGAACTGATGCGAAACATAAGACAGTTTAACCACTCCATGCAGTCAATATCATCTACCAGTGATACGCTCTTCCAACAGAATCTGTCCAAAATGTATTCAGAGCTTGCATCTACTAAAAATTTAGAATCTCTCAGTGGGTTCTATGAAGAGGTTCCCCTTAGTGGAACTACACCGAAGGAGGGACAACAGAAAAACACGCATGACTCAGGAGCGGCGAAAGAAACAGACGGCGCCGCCAACATGTACACGAGTGCTTCTAACGATTGGAAGGACCAAACTAGCTGCGCTGATGAGATGGGACAACACACACTCAACGAGATGGAAGAGGAGGAGAAAAAACAAGGTGAGGGGGACATACAAGGGAAGAAGTACTCCATGAGTGAGATTAGTCCTCTACACTTAACAAAGAAAGACTCCAATGCCATTTCGTCGAATCAGTGGGAACAAATGAAGAGGAGCTTCTGCGACATTGAGAATAATTTGATGCATCTGAGCAGGGCCAGCATGGGTCCTACTGCGGTTAGCAGCGCTGCAATGGGTTCTACTGTGGTTGGCACCGCCGCCATGGGTTCTCCGCTCATGGACACGGTCCCGTTCGAGACAGACGGAGCCTACGCCGGAGGCACCAGCTCCCCCTCCACCCCGAACCTGTCGTACGCGACGCTCGACATGGACAAATGGAACTCCGCCAAATGGGACTCCTCCAAATGGGATTCCTCCATCGAGTGCTTTCCCACCATGGACTACACAGATGTTCACTCGAGACATATAAACTTGGACGTCGCCGCCTCGTCCCAGTTGGCTCCAATGAAAAGGGGGGCGATCCCCCTAAGTGGTACTCCCCCGAACGCGGCTTCGCTAAGTGGTACTCCCCCGAAGGCAGTTCCGCTAAGTGGTAGATCCCCGAAGGCGGCCCCGCTAAGTGGTAGTTCCCTCAAAGCGATCCCCCTAAGTGTGGCTTCCCCGGGAGTGATCCCCCTAGGTGCCCCCTCCCCCAGAGCAAAGCTAACCAAACTCAACCTCGGAAAAGCCAGCAACCTGCACGGTATGCAAAGTGTGCAAAATGTGCAAAATATGCATAGCATGCAGAGTAATGCGTCCGCCAAGGAGGAGGAGACTGTGAGTGGGAAGCAACCACCCCGAGGGGAAGGAGCCAAATTGGAAAGCGGCAAATTGGAAAGCGGCAAATTGGAGATCGCCAAAGTGGAGGCCGCTAAAGTGGAGTGTGGCAAAGGCCCGAACACGATGCCCAAAATGAAGTCGCCCCGAAACGTGGCGAGAGGAACATCAAACAAAACGATAGTGAGTGCACCAAAAAATGCAAAGATTAAAAGTAAAGCGCCAAACGAAGCGACAAAGACGCCCAAGATGCTGAAGCGGAACAGTGAGGGTTGTGGAAGTGCTGGTGGGGTCAAACCAGAGGGAAAAAACAGCGGATCTCCCACATCCGCTGTTATTACTAGCAACACTTCCTCTGTGATATCTGCAAATCAAGGGACGGCTTCCAACGTACCTCACCCGAACGGTGGCTCCCCAACACACCAATCCCTTCCCACCTGCGCAAGACAGACCAATAAAAATGAGAAAGGTGGCTCTACAGAAAAGGACATAACATACAACATGAACGTGGTCATCAGATGCAGACCAATGAGTGCTAGCGAAAAAAACGAAGGCGCAAAAAATGTAATAAAAATTCTGGACAACAAAATGATAGTGCTTCTAGATCCTTCAGATAACTCAGATAATGTATTGAGACAAAATCGAAGTCGAGAAAAAAAGTATGTCTTCGATTACGTCTTCGATGAGACTAGTTCTCAGGAGGATGTATACAAGAACAGCGTTAAGTGTCTAATAGATGCTGTGATAGGAGGCTACAACTCCACAGTCTTCGCTTATGGAGCTACAGGTGCAGGAAAAACACATACAATTATAGGACATAAAAATGAGCCCGGAATCATGAACATGATTTTGAGAGACTTATTTGACAGAATCAAGCAGATGGAAGTAATGAATGAATACAAAGTGAAGTGTTCCTTTATTGAGATTTATAATGAAAATATTTGTGATCTCCTGAACCCGTCTGATGAGTACCTAGATGTAAGAGAAGATCCCATTAAAGGAGTTACCGTGTCTAATATCTTCGAGGTCTGTACTACATCGGTGGAGGAAATTATGGAGCTAATACATACGGGAAATAAGAATAGAACCCAAGAACCCACAGATGCAAACAAAACAAGCTCTAGAAGCCATGGAGTCCTACAAGTAATCGTAGAAGAAACAGAAAAGGGACAAGGAATTTACCAACAAACCAAGAGAGGAAAGTTATGTGTTATCGATTTAGCAGGAAGTGAAAGAGCAAGCCAAACAAACAACAAAGGAATGAGGCTCTTAGAAGGAGCTAATATCAACAGATCACTTCTAGCCTTAGGAAATGTCATCAATGCTCTAGTGTCAAGAAGCAAAGGAACGAGCAAATCGAATTTTATACCCTTTAGGGATAGTAAGCTCACTAGGTTACTAAAGGATTCTCTGGGAGGGAATTGCAAAACGGTGATGATCGCCAATGTGAGTCCCTCCCATCTTTCCTACGAAGACACACATAATACTCTTAAGTATGCCAATCGGGCGAAGAACATAAAAAATGTCGTCACGTCCAACGTGGTAGTGGTGAAGCAGCACCTGACCATGTACATAGACGTCATCGAGAAGCTGAAGGGCGAAATTGAATTTTTAAAGGAACAATTACAGGAGAAGGGAAAGATAAACGACTACATGAGTTCCACCTCGACGAACTTTGACTACTACGATCAGCTGAAAGAATACGAGCGCAACTGCTCTAGGGAAGAGCTCCTTAACATAATCTCTGCGTTGAAGCGCGAGAACCAGCGCCTGCGGATGGGGGAAGCGGCAGATGTGGGTGAAGCGGCGGACGAGGCAGACCTGGGTGACGCGGCGGACGAGGCAGACCTGGGTGACGCGGCGGACGAGGCAGACCTGGGGGACGCTGCTACCGACACGGCCGCCGGACAGCAGCACGATGAAGAGACCGCCAAACATCAACAAGAGCTCAGTGACTTGAGAGCCGTCAACGAGAAGCTATTCGTCGACAATAAGAAGTTTCACGAGAAGCTGCAGGAATACATGCAGGTCTCGCACAACCTGCGGCTTCTAAATGAGGAATACAAACGCCAGATCGACGGGTTCAAGGCCATGATGCACAGCAACGACGCGAATCACGTCCAGATCAAGAAGAAGCTCGATGACCTGCGAAAGAAATACGAGCAACTAAAGGTTTAGCTCGAGTGGTGTAGCGGCGTGGCCGGAGATGCGTCTAATTGGAGGCAATCTCCACCGACCATCGGCGGATCACCCGCAGACGATTCGCCGACGATTCGCTGACTAGCAGACGCTTTCCCACGTTGCGATCACCTCGACACCAGACGCCACGGCACACTTTACTCCCCCTCCCAGGAAAGCACGGAGGATAAAGAAAACGATGACGTCTTCGATAAATGGAAAAAGGAACTAACCAAAGTAATGGGGGGCTCGTATGAAGTGGCTCAGTGTTTCTCTCTGTTCCGCGCTGTTCCGCGCTGTTCCTCCCTGGAGTCTGCCCCCAACTTCACTGCTTGCCTTACTTCCTTTTGCTCTTCTCCACCCCCACGAAGGTGTTGGATGAGAGGAAAAAGATAAAGTCAGTCATCCTAAGTGTCGAGAGGAGACTCATCACGAACAAGGAAGTTGGGGCGGATACCTTTTCCGAGGCCGACGTCCGCGGGCTGTACCAGAAGGTAATTTCTTGGGCCCAGCAGGGGGGGGCGCTGGTGGCGCCGGTGATGGAGATGGTCTAAATGGTGCGCTCGATGGGCGGCAGAAGTGCGTCTGATAGGCATTCGTGTGGTACGCATCCGTCTGTTAGGCGTCCCTGTGTCAGGCGTCCCAGTGCGCTACGAACATGGCTTCTCTCCAAACCATTTCGCCGCACCACAGAAAAGCAAAATGGACGAGGAGCTGCAGCGGAACATCCTGCAGACGAACGAGTTGCTAAAGGAGCTACCCCTCCAGATAAGGGACGAAAAGACAAAAAACTTCCTCTTCCTATTTTACACGAACAAAGTGCTGCTGCAGGAGAAGGAGGAGCTCCAGGTAATTTCGTCTAGGTGGCCTCGTGGCTGGCGCTCTGCCGACAGCAGCCATGTGTGAAGCCACGTGCGTAGCCATCTGCACAACCACTCTCTCCACCGCTTTCTCCGCCACTTTCTCCGTAACTTTCCCCCCCGTGCAGGAATTCTTCGAGCTCTCATCAACCATCATTAGCCAAAAGGAGAAGCAAATTAGCAGCCTGAAGGACCAGTTAAAAATGACGGACTCGTGCACCCTGCTAAAGATGTGAATGGCTCGCTTGGCAGGGGGAGAGAGGCGGGCCCGCCCAGTGGCATCCACGAAGTGCACCTACGCATTGACATCCACGACGTTCACCTACCCATTGACATCCCATTTTGAAGGAGGAGCAAATGTGTCTTCTCCGACGGGTGAAGCGCACAAAATGGTCGCCATCGTCGGCATCGTCCCAAGTGGCCAAAGAGGTCTAAACACAGTGCACTCGGATCCCACTTCGCACGAAACGGAGAGTCCCCTTGCACCGTTGCTTAGCGAACATATGCTGT